AAGTTTGCCAATAAAATCAGTATTTTTACTCTTAAAATAAGATAATTAGATTAAATGCACTTGAACTAAGACAATACAATTGTGTTTTATTATTTTAAGTGTAAATTATCTTGTTTCATTGGCAAAATGTCTGTTTTACCTCCTCAATCCGAGAATAAATGCACTTATTTTAAGAAAAAATGATTTTCTTGAAATGAAATTTTTCCAGTGTGTAAAACCTTTTGAACGCTTCTAGCTACTATAATTCTATTCTTTCATCAAAATAAAGCTTAATATTTCATGAGCTAATCCCTCCAGCCCCCCGCCTCCCTTCACCTGTACGCCCCAAATGATTTATGTACTACTCGATCCAAGAGAACAAAAAAGTATTTAGAAATGCGAAATTATAAATCTTGGTGGAAGAAAGAATTTGTAATTTAAATGTTCAAATTCAATTCAGTTTAGTTTATTTCTATAGCGCCAATTCACAACACATGTCATTTCAAGGCACTTTACAGTTCACCAGATCATCCACTCAGATTGATTCAAAATTTGCTGTCTAAGGAAAAACAGCTGGTGTCATCGACTCATTGACTCGAATGCAATCCCTCACACTAAGCATGCTTCTAGCGACAGTGGAGAGGAAAAACTCCCTTTTAACTGTGGAAACCTACAAAAATAAGCAGAGATACAAAAGGCAACTGTTAAAGGCGGTCCCGTCCAGTTCTCGTACTATTATTCTTGTACTATTATTAAATCGCAAACCTAAACAAAATTTAAATGTAAAAGAAAAAAAACAACATTGTTTACCATTTTTCCTGTTAAGGAAGAAGCCATGTTGCAGTACTCTAAACAGTGATTTAACTGCTTTGGTTTATTCATCAGCTGGCAGTCAAATATATAACCAGCTATCCCTCACAACCATCAAACAGTTAGGAAATTTCCTATGATGGAAGACGAAGGTAAAAGGACACTAGAATGTCTAAATCCTATTGCTTACGCTCAAGCCGTGGGAAGAAGAGAAGAGGAAGCTGTGGAGCCAGTGATCTGACTACCTGTGCTACCTGATGATCTGCCCTACCTTGTGGCTTTGCTAATGAGCAGACAGACAACAAGTTTGCAGCTAAACAATGCTATCTGGTATGGAGGACCAATCCTGCCATAATTGAAAATACATACAGAAATAAATCAAGGACTTAATAATATAAAACTGCTTGCATAAGTAGTTAATAATATGAATTAGTGTGCCATTAAATGCGGAAAAAATAAGATATTTATTCATCAATTGATCAATTATTCATCTAAAAATATAGATTTTAACTTCCACTTTTATTTTTACTTTTCTTCTTGCATTTACACTGACTTATTTTTAACCCACTTATTTTCTGTTACACATTTCTTGAAGTCTTTGTTTTGTGTTTGTATATTATTGCAAGTGGGGGTTTTTTTCGTTCCGTATTTCCACTGCAACCTTTTTTATTGTTTCATATTTATCCACACCAACATTTTTAAAACACATAAATAAATGTTAAAAATAAATATTTTTTAATTTTATTTTAACATCCTTCTATTTCTGAAACAGTGATTTATTTCTGCCTCTAACTTTTCTAACTGATTTCCGCCTGCCCTTTTAATTTCCTTCTCCTGTTTTTCTACTTCGTCTATTTCCGCGTGGTCGTCTGACTGCAGCTGCTAATGTTAAAACAATGCCGAGGAGGGAGGGGGGTGCGGCGGCTTCGCTGGCAAAGCTTCCCAACTATACTATAGCTCCCTGGAAACGATTACTGAGCACGAGCTTGCATGCTTGGATTTTGGCTACCAGGCAAAGGTGTAGCGATAACTTGTGGAGTACCTAGCAGATGAACTTGGACAAGTTGTTGATTTGTCAGAAGATAACACAGTTTCTAACGATCATGTTCTATATCGTCTTGACTGCTTAACACAGAGAATAATACTTTTAGGCCGGGCATACACTGTGCGATCTTTTTCAATCGTTGCATGCAGCTACAGCTCACACATCGTACGAGGAAACCGCAGTTTCCACGTACGATGTGTGAGTTCACAGCTCACACTGTGTGACCCGACGCTCTGATGCGATCTAACTGCTCACACTGTACGTCTAAAAACCAGGTGGGACTCAGCTCCCCAGTGAGATGGCGTTACTCGGACTCGTCTACCTAGAAGCCAAATTAGTAGAAGAGGAATATGAAGCTCAATAGAGTGAAACGTGCTGCCTTGGCAATTTGTGCAATTTTGTGCTGAAAGCCCTAAGGAGAAAAGGCAACGACGTATTTGGACAAAGACATAGCTGAGCAAACGTGGCTACTACGGTCTGTTAGTTTTACAGAAATAACTCCATTTTATCCGCACCCCCGCCATGCTTCTGTCTTTTCATTTGAGAGGAAGAAGAAGAAGAATCCTTGTTTGCACACTGAGCGATTTGCCCTCTACAGTCAACTAAAAAAATCAAATATGTTTGATTTTCTCCCAACATCAAGATTTCTAATTGGGAGGTGGTTGTGAAAGGCTGATCGCCCTTCTTTATCCCCTGTGTACAACAGGACGCACAATCAGGCTAAAAGTCGGGTCGATTGAAAATTTCTCGCACAACTGGAAAGTCGGCCCAAAAAGGGCAAAAATCGCACAGTGTCAACAGATCTTGACCCAGCAGTGTTGCAAAGTTTGGACGAGGCAACTTGTACTCTACTGCGGTGAAGTTAGTTTTACGTTGGATATTAGACAGATATTTGCTCCGGTTAAACCGCTTCTTCTATCGGTTAATCCTCCTCCTCGCTCTGGAAAGTCTATAATACGGGTGCGCTTGAAGTGTTGGAGCGGCTTTTTCAGATCGCATTTTACCCCAAGCAAAGAGGAGGTTCTCCCAGAGCGATTATGTATTTAGACACCCGTGTTTTGCAGTGTAAAAAGAAGGTGAAGGAGAATAACTATGTAGGAGTTCCCCCTTCAGGAAGCACCTACCTTAACCTCACTGCGCCCGCACAGTTAACAAATGTCCACTTTCTCTGATGTGAGGTACGGCTTGATGATTAAAATTCAAAGCTGAGACAAAGTAATGGAACAAAATTCACTCCCTAGGTTTGTAATCATTTTTGCATTTCTTTGCACACTTAATTAAATAACATTTGTGATTCTGTTGGTAATCTATGTTGAAATTGAATTATTAATAATAATATTTATATCTTTAACTTGTAACTGTATTTCCCAATGATATCTAAAATGGAATCAAGTGTTGAATATTTTTTTGATATTGAGTTTTAAGTACACTGCAGAAAAATTAAATATACCTAAGTCATTTTCTCTTAAAATAAGCAAATTTTTTTCTTGAATTGAGAAGGAAAGTGCGACAATTTGCATTTAAAATAAGAAAACACAATTGCATTGTCTTATTTCGAGTTTATATTATCTATTTATGTTATTCTAAGAGTGAAAATACTCATCGCATTGGCAAACTATCTCATTTACCTACTCAAATTAGGGTTAAATACACTTACTTTAAGACATTTTTACTTATTTGTAGATCATTTTTCCAGTGTATACGTAGCATCACTACCCTAATGTCTCAGTCACCCTTTCCGTCTCTCTTTGGTTCATTTATTTTCTTATTCTTTTCCATTTTTGTTCATTCTTCATCCGTTTAATTGTTTCTTTTTCTTTGCTTCCGTTTTTCTTTTTTTGTCATCCTTTCGTTGTTTTCTTTTCCTTCCTCTGATGAAGTATCTAGCATAAATTCATCATAAGGTTTTTTTTATATATATATTTATAAAATGGGCTAAAGAGACTTGGAGCCATGCACTTTTGAGGCGTTAGTGAGGATTCTTGCCATAATGAGATGGAACTACAGTATGCATAAATCATTTAGATCTAATGTTACACCAGACTTGGACATGTCTTTGATCGTGTTTTAGCAAATCAAGCAAAGTGGAAGACAGAAATGGGTCAGCACCGCTCTACAGAGGAATAATCAGGCTTCTAGATCCACATCTGTCTGCAGCACAAAGGATGATCACTATAGAAACAGGACGGAGATAAAAAAGAGAATAATGACATACAATGAGAAGCTCTTCAGCTCAATCTTTAATAGAAACCTGCCACCCAAAATCTCATGCAAAACAGTTTTAGATCGTTTCAAAAATTATTCATATCCATTCACATAGAGAGAAATATTTACTTATGTTGCATACCATTTTTGTTTTAATATTGTTAA